CCCGGAAAGCCTGTCTGATCATGGGAAGGGTTAGGCAGCTCCCCAGCCCCTCCAACCTCCTCCCCAGCAACAGGAATTAAATGCCACCCGCTCTGGTAGAGTGAAGTTAGGGCTCCAGACACCAGGCCTGGGCTAGGAGACAGAAAAATGTGGCTGCCCCCTCTCTGTGCACAGGACAATACCGTCTGTAAACGGGGGGCACGTCCTGTTCCCGTAGGCTGATGCCCAGTTCTCCTGCCCCCCAGACAGACCCATGTAGCCCGCTGGGGTATTTGTGCCATCCCTTCCCACTGAGACTGAGCTGAATCTTTCAGTTCCAGGCCCCTGGGGAAAGCCCCAGCCCCTCTGCACTGCAGCAGGTGCCTGTAAACCCCCTTCCATCTCCCCCAGCCATGGCCTTCCTGCTCTAAAAGGGCCCACAAAGAGGTTTTGCTTCTCTATGAACGGTCTGTGGGTTTTCTTGCTACCTGCTCACAGTGTAAGTCTCAGGAACGTCAGGCCTGGGCTGCCCGGGGATTCTGCAGGCCTGGCTGGGCGGCCACAGTGTGTCTCAGGCTCTGGCCCCTGCCTGGCTGGGGCAGCTGGTTCATTGCCATGGAGACTTGTGTAACCAGGGCAGCTCTGCCCGCCGGGGCTGGGACCTGGGGGCTGTCGCAGGGTTCGAGCCAAACCCCGCCCCAGTGAGCGCAGGGCAGGAAGGGGGCAGAGCCGCAGGCCCAGGAGCGGCTGCTCTGGGGCTGCGGAGGAGCCGTGCGAGGAGCAGCAGCCGGGCAGCACAAAGCAAGAGCAGCCTCACACACAGGCGGGGGTTGGATCTTGTGTTAGGGTCTCAGCAGGACACATGGCAAACCCCCAGGGTCCCCACAGCAGCCCCTGGTTCCCACGGGTGACGGACAGCTGGGACCCCGCGGCTGGTCTGGGGGTGGGAGGGGGGAGCAGGGGGATGTTTCCAGAGCAACCAGGGAGGCGTTGGCTGAAGAAGGTGCAAAGGGGGAACAGCAGCAGCCGAGAAGATCCTGGGGTGTCCGGCTGCCAGGGCGGCTCTCAGGACGGGCGCGGGGGGCTGCTGGGCGGGGGCTTCAGCGGGAAATTCCCAACGTCTCGGCATCAGGGGCTTTAAATAAACAAACACCCCCTGAGAGAGGATCAAACCCCTCCCCCGCCCGATGGACACCTCTCCACATGGCCCCCAGAACTCTCCCAACCCCCAAAGACTCCCCCCTCCCAGTCACCCCCACACCACAGACAGAGTCCCTTGTGCCCCGCATAGACCCTTCCCCCGACACAGACCTCTCCCCCCCACGGCCTTGCCCCCCGGACAGGTGTAGGGACTGGAGATGGGTGGGTGCATCACACCTACCTGAGCCGCAGGGGGCGCTGTACTCAGCCTCTGTGTGCTCCCCTGCAAGGCAAGGGGGGGAGGGATGAGGAGAGAGCCCCTCCCCCCACTCCCGCCCAGGCAGGGTCTGAGCCCCAGAGGGAGTGCGAGGTGGCCCAGGTGTCTGAGTGGGGCTGAGCGCTCTCCCCAAGCCCTGCCCCCCCCAGTCAGACGGGCTCCATGAGTCGCCCTGAACACACGCAGGGAACCCGCCCTGCCGGCCCGGCCCAGCACGAGGGGTTCCAGGGGCATCTGAGGAGCTGGAGGGAGGGGAAATGTGTGGGGGCCTGGAGGGGCAGGATTCCTCCCACTCCTGCTGGGACGGCCCCAGTTACACCAGTCGCAGCGTCCCCACTGGCCCGTTGAACGCTCGGCTCCCGGGCCCCTTCCAACGAGCCGGCCCCACTGATTGAACCTGGGAAGGCTCCGAGCCGAGTATGATCCGTGGAATGGGGGCCCTTGGAACGGGGGAGAGTTCAGTGACCCCTCCTACCCCCCACTGAATATGGTTCAGCCCACCAGAGCAGCACTAGAGATGTCTCACGCCAGTCGGGGGGCCCTGTGTTACTGACCCCAGACAGGCGCTGGGCTCCTACCTTCCTGGCAGAGCAGGGAGCTGGGCGACTTCTCCTCCACGATCCCCCCCGGCTGTTGGGAAGCAGCATCACAGAGTCAGGAGACAGGACTGCACATGTAACAGCCTGACGGGGTTGGGCAGCCAGGGCCCCCGGGCAGGGCAGGGGCCGGGGCAGGGGCAGGGCAGCGCAGGCCGGGGTCAGACAGGGGGACAGTGGGGTGCTGGGGCGTTATTCTCTGGGCAGAACAAAGGTCAATCACAAGTGCACACGTGGTCCATGGCCACCCCACCTCCCTCCACTGGGCCCGGCCCCAGCAGACACTGACCAGGACCCGCAGGGGCTTGATCACGGTGTCCATGTGCCCCTGGGCCGGCACCACGGCCAGCTCCGTGCCGCACAGCTCCTCGGTGCGCAGGGCCTCCGTGCTGACGGTGAAATTCACCTCCCCTGCGGAGCAAGGTGGAGACACCCCTTAGACAGCCCCACACTCTCCTGGGGCAGAGAGGGCTCCGGTCTCTGGGGAGGGGACAGCAAGGGGGCAGGTGGGGAAGAAGGGAGAGAAAATGAGAATCAAGAAAAATGGCGAGAGAGAGAAAGGGGGAGAAGAGAGAGGGCCGGGCGGAGGGAGGTGGTGACTGGGAAATGGTGCGTAGGCTGGAAGGAGTTTCTCTGCAGGGTTGTCTTCTCCCCCCCACCCTGCAGCTCTTCCCATCTGTTCCCTTCCCCCGTGGCACCAACCCCTCAGGGAGCCTTTCCTGCCCCCCCCCCCCCCCACCCCCAAGGAGTTTCTCTGCAGGGTTGTCTTCTCCCCCCCACCCTGCAGCTCTTCCCATCTGTTCCCTTCCCCCGTGGCACCAACCCCTCAGGGAGCTTCCTCCATTAGCCTTTACTTGGGTGTGATCCAGCTATTTGCAGCCATATTGTGTGCATTCTGGCTCCACGTAGTATGGGGTCACTTGGAAAGCCGGCTTTAGCGCAGGGGTAGTCAGTATTTTTTGATGAAGGGCCATTCCAAAATGCTGTATGTGGTTAAGAGCTGCACTTTTGTGTGGGTTCTAGGCTGGAGGTTGGGTGCAGAAGGGAGCTCATGGTAGGGCACTGGGGTGCAGCAGGGGGTGTGCGGGCTGCAAGAGCATCTGAGTGAAGGAGGGGGTAGTGACCTGGGGTAGGGCATTGGGGTGCAGGGTACAAACGAGGGCTCTAGCATGGGAGAGGGATGAAGGAGGTGGTGCAGGGTCTGGGAGGGAGCTGTGATCTGGAGATGGAAGGTGCAGAGGGTTTGGATTGTGACTAAGGATGGAAGCAATAAGCTTATAGGTTAATGCTATAGACTGCACATGTAACTGCACATGTAACATGCTGGCTGTTCCCTCGGGGGAGCGCTGTTGCTGAAATGCTGGCTGTTCCCTCTGGGGGGCGCTGTTGCTGAAATGCTGGCTGTTCCCTCGGGGGGCGCTGTTGCTGAAATGCTGGCTGTTCCCTC